AGTTTAGACTTCAGCTCATATGAACCTACAGATCCTCCTGTTTGGGCTCGGGGAGATGTGGGGGTTGTTTGTTTAGGGTTTCCGGTTTAGGGTTGTAAAGAAGGGACCCTTGGGAAGATACTTCCTTAAAAGGGGGGTCCTAGCCAAACAGGGAACATAGATTATGGCCATTTTGTGGACAGGTATTTCGAACAACTACCATGTAGTCAGAACTTCAGTCGTTGTTTGGATCCAAGTCTACAAATTATACTTGCTCAGGGCCCTGAAATTTATGACTATTGCCAACCTTAGACCATTTGAATCCCTACCCCAAACCCTAAACCCCCCAACCCTAAACTTCTACCTGAAGCCCTAAACTGCAAACAAACCTAAACACATAGCTACTCGTGCGTTCCAACGTCGAGGCCCACGACTGCCAATGAGCATGCGTTTAGGGGATGATGATCGTTCGGGTTTTAGGGTCCAGGGAAGCGTTAGGGCTTAGACTGTAGGCTTTCGGGGTTATTGTTAAGGGTTGGGTTTTTTTGATGCCTAAACCCTAAATTCTAAAAAGTTTGGGGTTGAGAGGTTGCGAGCTGCCTTTCCTGTATATTTATGTTGCGTTACACGGTTCAGGGTTTTGGGTTTGGGCGGCTGCGACCGAGAAGAGTGTGGAACGCGCTGCCAATAATGATTCGGCAGCTACTATAGGGGCCTCCAAAATAACTTTTCATTTTCGGTTATTATAATCCTACCAACCAACAATTATTTTTTTTAGTGTGGTTCTGAGGCCGGTTTAGATTAATGGTTACAGAATTCAGAGATATGGGCTAGAGTAGTAGCAGATGAACTGCATTGCAATCATAGAACCAGGCTGCGAATGCAGAGGCTGACTGTATAAGCAAAACCACCGTAACGACAACAATGAGGAGCTCAACCTCCATGTGGTTGGTATCCATTCTCAAAAAGCGAATTTTTGGCTTTTTGTGGAAGCATGGCGGATGATTCGTCATGAATATGTTCCAGGGGGGAGGGTGGAAGAAAACTCCATTTCCATAGATAGCTACAAGACCGTCCCACGTGCGGAACCGTGGGAAGCTTTGAAATCGGTATGGCCTAGTTACGGCCTGGTATATCGGGGACTCCTGTTGGGGGCGGGCGCAAATCTCAACCCTGCCGTTGTATGGAAGGTTTTCAAGAAAGGTAGCCTGTTCATGTTTGTGGCTGTGGTAAATTTGGAATAGAATGTCCTCTCGAGAAGTTGCGCGAGTACTTCGACAAGGGGCGCAGCCGAAATCCGGGTTCAGGTCGTGCTGAATTCCCAGCAGCCTTTGTAATTAGAAGCCGGTGGTGAGTATAACCCAAAAGTAATACTAGCCAGAACTGTTAGAACCCAGCAATGACTTAGCACAGGGGACTTGGGGCACCTTCAATTGATTTATGATACATGGGTCGTCATTATCGTTAGCTTCCGAGTAGACCCTAACACCCCAGCCCCTGCCTCCAGAGTATGAGTCAGAGCCAGGCAGTTGCAGCGAGGCGCCCTATAGCTATCATCCCCAATCCCAAAGGGTCCATGTAGTTATATGGTATATACTTGGGCTTTAAAGTAGGTATATGGGAACCCCATTGGGCCTTAAGTATATGCCATATGTTATACCATATACCTACATGGACCCTTTGGGAATGTTAGCGACCCACAACCTTGAACCGGATCCCACACCCGGAGCCCTAAGCTCCATAATGTAAACCCTCAATCCCTCACCCATAATAGATGTTTATACACACATGTAAACTTGTTATACTTTGTATAGGCCTTATAACCCCCCTGAAAGAGACGATTGTGTCATAAACCCTCACACGTATACTCTACACCCCTAAACCCTAAACCCCTAAACCCTGAAATTTATACCCTACACCCCTAAGCCCTAAACCGCAAAACCCTCAAACCTATACCCTACACTTCTGAACCCTAAACCCCTAAAGCCCGAAACCTATATCCTAAACCCTGCTTTGCCCTCTTGAACCCTGAGGCATCCTCGGCTTGCGAGTCGAGCCAGCTGCTCAGAAGCTGATGGCAAAGGTCTTCAGAGCCTTTGTCCTTCGTTTAGGGTTTAGGGTTTCAGATTTAGGGTTTAGGATCTAGGATTTAGGGTTTAGGATTCAGGGTTGAAAAACTCACGGTTTAGGGTTTGGAGTTTACAGGGCCGTATAGGTCTCAGTACTTGAAAGGAGTTGGGGTTCAGGGCATAGGTTTGTAAGCAGAAAACAAGAGCACAAATAAATAGACAGATTCCATCTAAAGCGCCTCAACCCCCCCAAGACATTTGAATTGTATGTATCCAAAACACCTTAATCCTATGTACCCCTAGAATTATAATGGTTTCCATGTTCTTTTCCATTATCCCTTTCTAAAGGGATAGGTACGGGGTCCTGGAGGTGGCGATTTGGGGGTCTGTAGGGATTGGGTTTAAGGTTAAGGGTTTAGGGTTTGGCAGGGATGGGGGTCTTAGGATTTTGGGGTCTTACGGTTCCTTAGAAAGGAGATACGGGGCTTCTATTGGTATATATAGGGGTACATAGGATTGAGGTGTTTTGGATGTTGGGTGTAACAACAGAGACCCACCAGCACCGGAATACCAGGAGAAGGCCGCCCGAAAGGCCCAGAGGAAGCGTCCAGGGATAGATGGGGTTCCTACATAAAGAGGTTGCAGGAATTTGTTACGGTTATAAAGATTGGGATCAGTAATACAGAGCCAAAGAGGAAGAATGCGGTAAATAAAACGGGCATTGGGATTATCTATGTGTTTGTTTCGAGTAAGTAGGCCCAGGTAGGTTGTCTGATATATCTAGTGAAATCCTTATATCATCCGTACATATCCACATATAACTCCTATGTAACCCAATTATATCCCCTATTGACCTACCCTAAACCCTTAACCCGATTTTTGAGCACCAATGAGGAGAGTCCCTGGCCGCCATCGAGGAGCGAACCTGGGCGGCTTCTGTTTCTGAGGGGGGGAAGCTTATGGGGTTTTAGGCATGGGCTTCAGGGTCTAGGGTTTCCGGTTAAGGGTTTGGGTTGGATTTGAGGGAGGGTGTTTCGGGGTAAGACTGCGGTTTATGGTTAAGCTCAGGAAATAAGGCGGCTTTACGGAGACATTAGACCTTAAACCGCACATGTAAGGCCCAAGAATGAACCATCTATTTGATAAGCAGGCATAAATAGCAATTGTGGCCTCAAGGATTCAGGATTTACGGTAGAGGCCCAGGGACCGCAACTCCCGATAAGAGGGTTCCATGTAGGCTTTAGGGTCTAGGGCCTTGGGCATACTGCTGGCAGAGACCTCTGTACCCTAAACCCTAAACCCTAATCCTAAGACCGCATCCTGCATGGAACTTTCAGCATGGGTCACAATAGTAGTAATATTAATAATGGGTATATCTACTGATCATGCAGCTTTTATCGGTGGGTTGAGTTGGGTAAAATATAGTGAGATGGTAAGGGGCTTCTGCACCACCACCACCACCAGAGGCTCCATGACCTCCCTGCAAGAGGTTTAACTAGAACCCTACTAAAACTCCTACTTCTTCTGGTAGCCTTTGCTGTAAAAAGCTACATCTCGATGTTGAGAAAACCTACGGCTGTGACGCTTTCTCGTGGCTGTCCTAGCTTCAGTTGAAGAGCAGATATCCTTCATTCGTCTCGGTGCAGTTTCTATTGTCATGCTCATGTCTTTCTAGTGTCATTGCGATTGTTCGGGCTACCACGTTTGACGTTTTCTCAGATTCCTTGGCCCTGTTTGGGTATGTCCAAGATAAGGGGCGCGGCTAACACCATAATCCTCAGTATAGGGATTTCCAACAAATGAACGCCACATTTTTGGCAGGCCTTCATATTGCATGCCCTGTACTCTAAACTTAAAGCCCCTAAGCCCCAAACCAGAAACCCAAAGCCGTACAAATGCATTCAACAGTGGTAGCTCCCCGGCACCACCAGGGACCCTTGTACATCATAAGTTAATCCGGAACCGCCCAAAAACGACCTTAAACGCAAAACCCCAAAACCCTAAGCTACCCTAAACCCCAAACCACTAAACCCTAAACCTATACTTCTTACTATGGGGAACCCCCTCAGAAGGAACCCCAAACCCCAAATCCTAAACAGTACACTCCAAACCCTAAACCCTAAAACCCAAACCGAAACCCTAAACCCTAAGTCACAATTTACTACTTCCCGTGAGGAAGCCCCCTATAGGAGCCCTAAACCGAAACCAAGGAGTGCAAAGCCAAACTTCCTCGACGCTGCGGTGGCATTAAACATACTTGCCCTGGGGCTCCAATAGGGGTTAAGAGTGTAGGGTTTATATGTGGTTTATAAGGGTGATATATGGGGTTTTATAGGATTTAGGATTTAGGGCTTCAGGTTTGGGGTTTAAGGTTTGGGGTTTAGGGTAGAACGCTGCCAAGTGTAGGTACCGTCTATAGACTTTAAGGCCACAGGTAGGTACGATTCATAGATTTTAGTGCCCAATGTACGTACTTCCTATATATCCCGTATATAACCCTTATATACATTCCCTAGTTTCCATTTCATGTTCTTTTCGACTTGGTTCTCCACCAAGCTCTGGAAGCTTCTCAAGACAGGGTTTGGAATTCTTTGGGAGTTTCTGGGGTCAGGCGTGCCCTAAAGGACCCTAGACATCTATGTGAAGCATGAGGGATTGCGGGCGTCCACCTTGGGGATTTTCGACAGGTTCTTTTGAGAAACTCACCTCTGTTCCCTAAACCCTAAAGGGTTTGGGGAGAACTTTGTGGGGAGTTCAGACGTCCTGCATCCCCCATCGTATGGTGGGTGGTTGATATAGAGGATGTAAAAGGATGATAAAGGTCTAATGAGAAAATGGAAACTTCTATGTTATAACAGTTTTACTGGGGGGAGGAGTTCAGTTTCTTCTCGGATCAAGGCTGTACAGGTGCGATCGACTTTTATATTTGTAGAAGCCCTAGACGGGTTTGGGGTTTAGGGCGTAGGGTTCCTAACCCAGGGATGACCCCTAAACCCTAAACCCCAAACCTTGAACCCTGAAAATTAAATCCTAGACCCATGAGACCTGCATCCTGGCTCCTGAAACTGGGGCGCCCAAACCTCAACCCCAAACCCTAAGCCCCAAACCCCAAATCCAAAACCCTAAACAAATATCCCTAAACCTTAAGCACTGAAAACTCCTAAATATTCCCTATATAACCTCTATAGATTCCCTAGTGTTAATCTTATTTTCCATGTTCTTGTCCATTTGATTCTCCATTATTGGGGGATAGTATCCCTAAACCCTAACACCTACACCTTAAACCCTAGACCCTATACAGCCCCTGTAATCTTTGTAGTTTCCATTTTCCATCATCAGTATATAATCTCTATATTATCCTTACAGAAACCCTAAACAATCCCTAGGCTTACGATTCCTAAGGATGGCGGACCTCAAGTTTCGCGACCGTTGCAATCCGAACTCAAGGTCCGCGAGGGCATTGAGGGTTTAGGGGTTTAGGGTTTACAGGGTTTGGGATTTAGGGTCTGTAGGGTTTAGGGTTTATAAGGTTTAGGATTTAGAGTTTATGTGGTTTAGGGTTTAAGGTTTATAGGGTTTAGGGTTTAGGGCTTATTATAGGGCATAGGATTTGGGGTTTATAGGGCTTGGAGTTTATAGGATTTAGGGTTTATAGGGTTTAGGGTTTACGTGGTTTAGGGTGTCGAGGTTTTACAGAGTTTTGGATTTACGGTTTGTAGGATTTATAGGGTTTATAGAGGTTAGGGTTTATAGGGTTTTGGGCTTAGGGTTCAGGGTGATGTCCAAAATGGGGGCCTTTGGGTCCAGGGGTCCATGGAAGGAGGGTGTGGGTACATAAGTTGAAAGGGTGAAGACACAAGTTTTTTATAAAGATAGCTGCGCCAAACCCTAAGCTTGAATCAATGCACATCTCCAATACATACCACAACCCGAAACCCTGAACTTGTATGATATCAGCACTACCCTAAAACCCAAGAGACTATACCCGACACTTGTAAAATGGGTCAGTGTGTATATATAGTATGCTCTAAAGCCGACGCCTTCAACCCGTGAATGTGTATGATATGCGCTAAACCCCAACACATAGACTTTGTATATGGATATAAGATACCCTAGACCCTCAGCCCTGAAACAAAGTAGAGTTTGCACCCTCAACTTATATGTATCTATTTATACACATATTACATACCTTGCATGCATGCATACGTACATGGTTCACCAGTGGTATTGGGAGGGTCTTGGTGTGTGCAGATATATGGATATATATGAATCATATGAATATAGACATATGTGTACAGATACAGCTTTTTTCCACGATTTGATCGGTTCTCCATTATTGGGCTTTAATCCCTTAACCGTTGAAAACACTATATCTCACGCCCCTCTAGCAGCTAGCCACTTTCTCTTTAAGCAACTGTTGAACTGAACACTCCTACACGGAAACCCAGTAATCCATGACGAGGACCCCAGCTCCCAACGCAAAAACCGGGTTCAGGGTTTAGAGTCCCTTCAAAACAAGGTTTCCTTCCAATATTGCCAGACTCTGGCAATTCTTTTTAGGGTTGCGGGGTTCACGACCCCACAGAGCCATCATTTCGACAAGAAAAAAAACAATACCCCAAACATGTAAACCTTAAGCAATCTCCATCGCCCCTGAGCCATCCCTAGACTACCTTATAAGCCGCGGAACAAAAACCAGCAACCCCCACCCAGAACTTTAAACTCCAAACTTTAAGCGTGCTGATAAGTAAAGCCATAGTAGATGGTAAGTAGAAGGACTTCTCAGAGTTTCAAATCCCATTTGAAGGCGCGCACCGCTGGTGAATATCAAATGGGTGGTGACCACAGCTGCTTGGTCCTGTTTCAGCCAAAGCCAAATATTTGATTTAGGGTTTAAGACCTAAAGACTCGCTTGGATTATTACTATCCCGGAATTCCTTTGACAACTTATGTTTTGTTGTTTTGTTTTTTCGGTGTTCTGATCGTTTGGGTTTGTCTGGTCGTACGTGCGTTGATTTTTTGTGTTTTCCGGTCGTTTTGGCGGGTTGTTGCGGTCCTTTTGGGCAACAGTGGTACCAAAAGCAAAACAACAAGAACAACATTGCCGTTGGAACTTCCAGGATTCGGATTGCCGCTGCTACTGCTGTTATTATTCTTATTAGTAGACCATTATTCTTATCATTGCGATTTCTGATTAGTTTTATTACTACTACTACTACTACTCCTGCTGCTGCTGCTGCTACTGCTACTACTGCTGCTACTACTACTACTACTGTTATCTTTATTACTACCCTGATAACATTCGTATTCTCATTCTTATTACAGTTCAGCCTAAACCCCGAAAACCCAAACTCCAAATCCCAAGCCCTAGCAGCCATCCAAAGGCACTAAGGAAGCTTGTTAAGACATGGTTGCCATGTCAACTACATTCCTTCGACTTAATGAGAATCATGTGAGCTATAATCTAAAAACTCCTTGAAGGGGGTTATAGAAGGGATTATATAGGGGAGCGTTATAGGGGTTCCAAAGGGGGATATGGGAGGGAGTCTATCAAACAGAAGGCCCCTCAGTCACCCTAGAGGCGACCCAAAAATGTTGTCCTGAACCCTGAGCCCTAAACCCGCGGGCTGCTCGTCAGCTGAAACTTCCATTTCCATGTCTTGGGTTAAGGGTTCGTGGCTTAGGGTATCGTGTCCGTCTGGAGGACAACCATGCCGATCCCTGTAGCCACACTTGAAGGTTTTTTTAGCCCGCCCTACGCTAAGCCCTAAACAACCTTAAACCCTGAACCGTGAACCTTAAACCCTAAACCCTGAACCCTAAACTAATATGGCAGTTTCCATTGACATTTCCACTCCTTCAAGCCCTGGTACATTTCCTGACTAGTTATTCCCTTCCCCCCATCTTAAGAACAAACACACACGCACGCCCAAAGACATTGATACTTCCGGTGTGCAGCATGACCCATATACTGAGAGTATGTAATCTTAGGGCGATTCCGGGTTGATGATTAGGGGAAGGGACTTGCTACATAACCACTTTCTGCCCCTAGTTTTCTCTAGTTTCCATTTTGTGTGTCCATGTTCCTTTTTACATTTGATTCTCCATAATTCGTGTAACAGACCATGACTAAACGAGGCGAGGCTACAGCGGGCTTCAGGAAGGTTTGACGTACTAATGTAGACCCCTGATTAATAACCTCTCTCCCCTTAATAGGGATTATAATAGGGATCCTTGTATTAAGGTCCTTAATAGGAGAGGGTCTACTAATCATGGGTCTACATTAGGAGGTTCGGAGTTGGGGTGTGGATCTAGCATCTTGAGGGATTTTTCAGGGTTCCTGTCCCAAAATGTAGATGAGATTAAGTCCCGTAATGGAACAGGAATGATTCCCTAAACCCTAAACCATAAACCCATTCAATGGGATCCAGTTCCCTTTAGGGCGTAGGGCTGAGCCTACCCAGGCCTCTGGGATCATCTAGAAAATAGATTCTCCTGGAGAGTTCCTAGAATCCCACATTGCGAAACTACTTTCTCTATCAAATCCCAATCCCAATGTCAATTTATTTTCCAGTTTGTTTTCCGTTCGATTCTTCGGGCCCCATGTTATTTTTCCCTAGGTTTGGCTGTATTGCCCGGTCAGTAGAGGTTTGGCTGAGAGAGCAGGCTTCTTCCCGGTCGGTTGGTCTGTGGTTGGTCTGCCGGCCGGTCGGTCAGTCGGTCCGGCGGTCAGTCGGTCGGCCGGCCGGCGGCTCGGTCGTCGGTCAGTCAGTCGGTCGGTCGGTCGGCCGGTCGGTGGTTCGGTGGGTCGGGCCGTCGGTCGGCCCGTCCGTCGGTCGGTTGGTTGGTCGGTCGGTGGGTCGGTCGGTGGGTCAGTCGGTCGATCAGTTTGTTTGCGACTGGCAGGGGGTGCATCCCTCCCAACCCCCCCCGTTGTTTGACAGTTCATGCGCACCGCACAGAACATCATGTCATCATGTCATCGCTACTTTGACAGGGAAGGTTTTGCGCATCATTTTCTTTGCAAATGGGGGGTCTGCACGCCCCCACCCCACCTGCTTTTAATCAGCAATCCATGCTTGCCGTGAAAAGCATCATGTCATTGCTATGTTTGCAGTGACGGAGGGTCATGCGGCCCCCCAAACCGCCGCTTTATTTTACCGGTTCAAACAACATCATGTCCTTACTACGTTTGCCGCAAGGGAGGTTTTTGCGGATCACAAAAGCTGGGCATGTTGCGTGTTGGTGGGCGGGGCTCAAGTGTTAGAATTTTGCGAAGAGACCCAGGCGTACCGGGAAGAGTTCGATGCCAAGAAGACCGAATACGCGAAGGCCATTTCGGGCTTCGGATTCAGGTGTTTATAGATTCAACTACAAATACAGGGTCCGAGTTTTCGGATTGAGGGTTCAGGTTTTGGGTTTTGGGATTAAGGGCATAGGGTTCGAAAGGTTGAGGGGGAGTTGCAAATTGCGGTTCTACACGGTAGCGCCATTCATAGGGCGACCCGGCACAGACCCTCATTCACTACGAACACTTTCTCCCGAATACTAAACGGCTCCCCCCCCGCAATGTAAATATTCCGACCAGTACTTAACATTAGGGGGTGTATGCATCGCACGAACCGGACATCAGGGGGGCATATAGAGATCTGATGAAAATCGTATAACATTCGAGTAAATCTAAGAAAGGGCCCTTACAAATTACAGATTTATTAGGGATAATTTCAAGTTAAGGCCTCGTGAAGGGTTATTTCAAATTAAGGCCTTATTATAAGGGACTGTTTAAGACTAGGGTCTTCAGGGATTAGTTCAAATTGGGACTTGAGTAAGGACTATTCCAAATTAGGGGCGCGTTTGGGACTTCTTCTAACTAGGGCCTGTTAAGAGACGCCCAGGCCTACTGGGAAGAGCTCGATGCCAAGAAGACCGAATACGCGAAGGCCCCTTCGGGCTCAGGGTTCAGGTGTTTACAGGCTAAACTACAAAGATAGGCTAACATAGGGTCCAAGTTTTCGGATCGAGGGCTTAGGTTTTGGCCTTTGCGATGAAGGGTTTAGGGCTCGAAAGTTCGGGGGGCAGTCTCAAACTGCGTTTTTACAACTGCAATGTAAATACTCCGAACAATACGTAGCATTAGGGTACGGTATTTATCGTACGAACCGAAATTAGGGCAGTATATAGAAATCTGATGAAAACGTATATCATTCGCATAAATCCAAAAAAAGGTGTCATTGCAGATTACGACCTTATACGGGACTGTATCAAATTAGCGCCGCCTTGGGGACTATCTCAAATTAGGGCGTCGTTGAGTACTATTCCGAACTACGGCTTTATAAGGAACTATTTTCAAGTCAGGGCCTTATTGGGGATTATCTCAAATTAGGGCCCTATGAGGGACAGTTTCAAATTAGGGCCCTATTAGGGACTACTTCAAAGTGGGGCCCCAATAGGGACTATTCCCAACTAGGGCCTTATAAGGGATCACTTCAAAGTAGGGCCTTAGTAGGGGACTCTTTGAATTTAGTAGGGACTATTCCGAACTTGGGCTTTACCAGGGGTTCTTTCAAATTGGGGCCTTAGTAGGGACTACTCCAAACCAGGGCCTCAATAAGGATTATTTCAAATTAGGGCGTTATAAAGGATTACTTCGGAGTAATGCTTTATTAGGGACTGCTTCAAATTGAGCCTGATAAAAAATATTCCAAAGTAGGGCTTTGTCAAGGATTATTCCAAATGAGAGGGTACTGGGAATAAGTCAAATTAGGACCTGAGTACGGACTACTCCAAATGAAGGCTCAATTGGGGATTATTTCAAATTAGGGATTATCTTTAACGAGGGCCTTATGATAGATTACTGCACATTTGGGCTTTAATAAGGCGAATATTCCAAATTCGGGCCGCTATAGGGACTTCTCCCAATTAGGTTTTATAAGGGACTATTTCAAAATAAGGCCTATTTAGGGACAATTTCAAATTAGGGCCTCAATAGGGACTCTTATAAGGACAATGTCAAATTCGCGCCTTAGTACGGACTATTCCAAATTAGTAAATTAGGGCCTACTTAGTGTCTTGTAACGGATTATTTCAAATTAGGGCCTCAATAGGGATTACTTCAAATTAGGGCTTTATTAGGGATTATTTCAAATTTGGGTTTTACGTGCGACTATTCCAAACTGAGGCTCCATTGGGGAGTATTTCGTAGTAGGGGAGTATCTCTAATTAGGGCCTTATTATGGACTATTTCAAAGTATGGCCTTAGTAAGGATTATTCCAAATTAAGGTTTCAAGAGGGATTATTCCAAATTTGGCATTAGAAAAAGATTATTTTAAGATAGGGCCTTGCTAGGGATTATTTCTAACTAGGGACTATATAGACTATTTCAAAAGGGGCCTCATTAGGGATTATTTCAAACTAGGGTGTTATTAGGGGCTATTTCAAAATGGGGCATTATTAGGGCCATGTGGTGTTTTTTTTCACACCAGTGCTTTGTAAAGGATTATGTCAAATTAAGGCCATATTAGCGACAATTCCAAATTAAGGTTTCATTGCGGGCTATTTCAAATTCTGGATTATCTCTCATTAGGGCCTTAGTATGGATTATTTCGAATTAGGGCCTTAGTAGGGACTCTTCCAAATAGGGTCTCAATAGGCAATATTCCAAATTAGCGCATTATTAGGGACTATTTCAAATCAGGGCTTCAATAGGGATTAAATCAAATTGGGACTTGAGTACTATTCCGAATGGGGTCGTGTTAGGGATGACTTCAGGTTAGAGCCTGTTAAGAGACAGCCAGGCGTACCGGGAAGAGTTCGATGCCAAGAAGACCGAATACGCGAAGGCCATTT